ATTTGTTTTATCAAAGGACATGCAACCATTGACCATTCTTTCTGGTTCTAATCTGTCAGATTGCAAGGAGAATCACATCTAATTAATTTTTGGTACCACTAGATATGATCTGATTAATGGTGCTCTATGTTGGCTATTTTTGAGTCAAAAAAATCAGTATAAAAATGCTAGCTTTTTTCTTCAGTTTCTTGTCAATCAGATGTAGTTGCCTTTCTTGACTCTTTCAGAATTCTCATTGATTGCATTTTTTTCCAGCCGTTTGTAATATTGCTTTTCTGTTGCTTTCACAAGTTGTTGTGCTGGGTAATTTTCATAGTCTTTTAGTTGTTGCCTTAGCTTGCGGTTCAAATCACACAGTTCAGTCATATCAAATTTATTTTCTCCTTTGAGCTCCTTTCTTAATTGCTCTCTAATTTTAATTGCTGGGAAGTGCTTCTTCCAGTCATTTTCTGAATTTTTATGACTGCAACCTTTCTTTTTTATAAGTTGTTTATAGTGTATCATTATTGTACTAATTTTATTGTAGAATTTGTTTTTAAAGTAGAATTGTACTTTTTATTTCTTAAGAATTACCATTGAGAAGGGATGTTCAGGTTAGGTGTTGGAACTGGCTTATCAGGGGTGTCAAACTGCCAGCCTGCGGGCTGGATGTGTCACGCCAAAACCGCGGCCATTGCCGGCAATGGGGGAAAAAGTCGTGATACGTTGCGACACATCACGTGACGTCACAAGTTTGACATCTGTGGCTTATGCGTACTGCCAATATTGAGTTAGTGCTATACTTTAACACTTGTGATCAATTTTGCATCTTTGCATAGTATGTAGTTGATCTCTGCTTTCATTTCCTAGTTAGGGGAATGTCAGGTCCAGTATTTCCCTGCTAGTTTCTCAAAGTACTGCAGGTGTTTATCATCTACTTCTTTACAATAAAGATTGCTAATTGTTCGTCATATTCATTTTGCTTCTCATTTGAGAAAATGCCCATAAAGTTTTCACCCACTCTACATGAGCCTACTTGAGCATGTAGATATCCTTTGATTAATATTTTGTAGGCCAGTTGAGCTAGTTGTTGTTTAAGTTCTTCACCAAAGCATTGGTTTGATCTTTGTCCAAATTACTGTAAGGAACATAACATGGGATGATGACGAGTTGGTCATTCTGCCTTTTATTTTTAATTTGAGGGTTGTAAGACATTCGCAAACTATTTGTACCGACTGTATGTTTTGTACATGTTGGCTGGCAACAATGAATGCCAAGTCCACCATTATGTAGGGTTTAGCCTATGGCTATTATTATCCCATCTGGATATAATATGAATTAATGCTCTTGTTTTGCTGAGACCAATGATGTCATAGTTTAATTTTATGACTTCTTCAAAGAGGTGGCTTTGGCATGCAACCCTGAATCCACTCTTAATGGTATAGAAGGGAATTTTGAATTTGGTTGCGGTGTCCCTTAAACCCATATTTTTGTTCTACAATCCCATTAGAACTTGAAGAAATTAAATACTCCAAAATACTATTCTTTGTCTTCTTTGGCTCACCTTTGAAACTCCCTCTTGGGTTTTTTTCTTAGCAACGAAGATGGATGGTTTCCTCCTTTTAGCTTACTGATCCTGGGGGGAGATGCAGCTCTGACGTTTCAGTTGTAGGATGTTTCTGACTGCCCCATGAATGAGTTGACATCAGCATTTTTGCATATAGTTTTATTATGTTTAAAAGAGTAATAGAATGTGAAAATTGACATATAAATATGTGTATTTGAGAAAAAGGTTCAGTACAATATGGTTCTTAGAATGGACACATAGATTTAGATAAGTTGGGAAAGGGAGAGTTGATCTTTAACTAAAGCCTCACAATAAATTCAGCAATGCTTAAATAGAATTACTAATCTGACAAAAGTCACATAAGTCATCTCAAGGAAATAAATGGCCAGTGAATCAAAAATGAAGAGAAATCTATTTTCTCATAGCAGAATACTACCAGGAAGAAACTGGTGAAAAATTTCAAAGTAATATCTGGCTGTAACCAGATATTGTGACCTCTGTAATTTTGTTGTTAAGCAAATTAAATTATAACTTTATTTGGTGTGACTACTGTAAAAGTTGTTAATAAGTTGCCAGAATTTTTAAATGTATTGTTTATTATGCCAATATATGGTCATTGACCAAAAAAGCCAAAGGTCGAGAAAAGAATACAAGAGTACAAATATCTAGTAAAAAAAAAAACCTATTTGCACCTGAAACTAAACTTACCCAAAGCACAGTCAGATCCAGTAACGTCTCACTATTAATTCTATGGCACAAAATTTAGCCATCATCTTGGTCCCGGTATTTTGGAAAGTAGTGCACAATTATTTTGGGAGATTGATTTGAGAAGTTTCTGATAAGAAGAAAAAATAGCTCTATCTTCCATTGGGGATAAATAATTCATTTCACAAGTACATGCATTATGGTCTTGACTTAAGAATCTGAACAATATTGGTAAGGAATGCCATTAAAATTTCCCAGCAATACCATCACTGGAAATGGATCCAAGCCTGCCAGTGTGAAAACTTTCCTATACAACGGGACAAATAGGTAATAAAAGTTGTTAGGGATGGTACAGAAAAGATGCAACAGTTTATTATATGAAATGTTAATTCTGTCTCTGGATATGGAGGTTAAAAGTTTTCTGCTTGAGTGCTCTCCTGGCTTCATCCAGACATTGCATAGTACAAATTGGGGGTGGAAGGGCGTTGAGTCCATAATAAACCAAGCCCACTGTTATTTCTTGGCACCAGGACACTAGTGTCAATACTAATTGAGCTAAAGATTCACCTCTAAAGATCTGCTTAAATCAGTATTTCATACAAACTCATTTCTATATTCCAAAGGTCTAGGTCTGGGCTATGTTTTAATCCTATAAATGTCATGCTTTGAATTGTGTTTCATGTTTAAATGTTATTGTTGAACCTTTATAAAACATTTAATTACGTGCTGGCCCAAATATGCCTGTACCTCAATAACTTATAAATATATAATTTCTTTTTGAGTTTATTTTGCTCACTTCTATAGATGTGTACCCAGCCTACATCACAAAGATTCTTTAACATGTTTTTTTCTCAATAAATGGGCACAAATGGCAATTAGAAACCTCTCCAATATTATTTTTGTTAAATATTGGTATGATAATTCCTACACCCCAAACATATCACTTGAAACTGACAACCATCATTCTAGGTTTGACTTAATCCTATTGGGATAAACATCCATTTTTAGTTTGCATTAACACATACACACCCAAACCTTGAAAAATGACCCAAAATGGCCTGGAAATTTATATTTTTCCCCATTTTTAAAGTTTATAGGAGAGCTTTAAGATAGGCTAGGAGTAGTTTGCCTTCTAGAAGCCTCCTATTCTCAACTTTTTTGTTGTGATTCATTCTGTTACCTCCAACTCTTCCCAACGAAATAGGCATCATTTGCTAGGAATGTTTGTCAGTAGCTATTTCTTGAAGTGGTTGTAAACATGTACTTGTGTCATAGTATTGATGTCTACCTTGTCTTCTGTCTGATAGACTCTGTTTTGATTATGTTCAATTATTCCAAGCATCTGGGTATTAAAAAAATAAAGTTTTGGGAGAACTTCTGCATGTGAAAATAATTGTTTATTAAATTATTAACACCTGTTTGGATTTACCAACTATATTGATTTAAATATTGAATGAGTTGCAATCAAGACAGTATTTCCAATCTATTTTACATTATACATTAGTGAATTTTGAAAAAGAAAAATGTCTCTTGTTTTATTGCCTCAGTATCCAGAAATAGATAATTCTGTAAATAGAAAAATAGAAATAAAAACAAAAAAGAGAACAATGCACATTTTTAAAAGTTCAGTTCTTAAACAAAATATTTAAACGTTGATAACATGGTTAAAGTATAAATAGCATTACTGAAAAAATTACTTTATAAAATAAAGTTTCTGCCACATGAGGAAATCATGGTCTCCTCAGTTTTGGCTTTGTGAATCTAAACATGATGGTTTTTAAACCATGGTACCACAGTCCCCTAAAGAGAGCTAATTGAGTTAGGGGCCCACTAGTTTTTGGAATAAAAACAGTGAATGTTGATCCATTGTATTCTGTAAAGCTGTAACAATACACTGTTTTGCGTGGGGTTTGTTTAACCAGAAGCTATCAATCTATTAATAGAAACTCAGTGAAGCCCATATCACAATGTGCATCAATCACAGTGCTTCAAGATTACAGAAAAGTTCATACTAAAACATTCACACTCTTTTTCTCACTACTGTAGTTTGATGTCTGCATCGTTTGCATTCAAAAAGTTGTCTCTAAAGGAGCGTATTTGTGGGAAAAAGAAACGAAAGGAAGAAATATAAGTTTATTTTTATAAATATAAGAAAGATAAATTTAGTTTTGTTCATTTATTTATATCTTGCCTTTATTATTTTTATAAATAAAAGTGGATTGTAAGGTGGATTGGGCTGAGAGGGAGACTGACTGGCCCAAGGTAACCCAACTGGGTTTCATGCCTAAGGCCTGGTTTCTAGTTTGGTGCTTTAACCCAGAGGTCCCCAGCCTTTTGGGCACCAGGGACCGGTTCCGTGGAGAGAGGTTTTTCTGCGGACCGGAGGATGTGTGGTTTTGTGTGCTGCCTGCATCCCGCGGATGAGGCTTTGCTTGTTTGTGCGGCCCGGTTGCTGGCATGCCATGGCCCGGTACTGGTCTGTGGACCGGGGGTTGGGGACCCTTGCTTTAACCACTAGACCAACTGGCTATCAAAGTTGATAGCCATTAAATTTCAAGTGTAACTTTAAAGGGGGGCACTTTTCTTCATAATTCTAGTGAAGTCAAAAATTAAATTTAACCTTTTGCAAATCACTTTTTTTTAGAATAAAATTCATTTTAGGTTGTGGGAAAAAGTAATATACATGTAGTTTTACATGTAGTTTTATTTTTAAAAAATATATTTCCCTTTATTTATTTATTTTCTTTAGATCGAGCTGGAAGCATTAGCACTCTTGATTCCTTGGATTTTGCAAGATATTCAGATGATGGAAATAGGGAGACTGATGAGCGAGTAGCTGGTGAGTAAAATTTCAGATAAGATGCCAAGTAGGTATTGCACAAATCATGCTTCCTATTTATTTATAATGTTTATTTATATTAGTGTTTGTAAATCACACACTTTCTAATATGTTATACATTTAATTTATAGATTATTGTCTAGAAACGAATTATTGAATGGATGGCTACATTGTTAACATCTCATTTTTGATTCTTCATTTTAAAATAGAGTTAATTTATACAAATTATTTTCTTGCATGATTTTTCCATTACAGTACTTGTCACAAACCAGTTGTAGTACAAGTGTTCTTGAGAATCTCAAGTTCTTTTAAATAATGAAACTTTTCAAGTTACTTTATTTTACTATAAATAGATTCTTATCCATTAGGAAAGCATCATAAAAGTGTACTGATAGGTATTAAATTCTTTGTCGTAAGATTAAGAAAACTGGAAAATATATACAAATTACTTCTTTATTATAAATATGAGCAACTCTAATACAACAATAGAAAACAAAACTCAATATGATACTTTTTTGCATTTTTGTGTTGATTGGCCAGATTTGCAATGATAAGGAAATGCATTCGATCCTATAATTTATTAGTGGTTATAAACATGATGGAACATTCCATATATGCAAATCTGCTACCATTCACATCCAGTAGTTGTAAGACAGCTAAAATCACTTTCCAGAGAGATACATAAAGCGGGAAAAAGTAATGGCTATTTTAACTGTTTGTAAAAAGATGCCCCATCCATAATCTTACACATTCTGAAGCTTCCTTTTTAAAGGAATTGCCAAGCCCTAATAACTAGAGATGAGAAGGGAAATGAGAAGAACATTGTTGTTGTTGTTTCATTTATTTAATAGTAATCTTCAGTTGGAGATTGGTATTGCCTGGAAAAGAGTATTTTGTTAAAAGGAGAATTGTCAGAGCATCATTGTTTTCCATCCTTCTCAAATCCAGACTGAGATTAGCAAATAATAGCAAAGAAAACAATGGATATATGGGTGGATAACCTAACTTTGGGGAAGGCAGAAAGGTCTATCTTTGTTGTTGTTTTTTTCTTTTGCTAGATTTGTGTTTCTTCTTCTCTGGGTCTGTATGCATAGATCAGTATTCTTTCTTTCCTCTCTCTCTCTCTCTCTCTCTCTCTCTCTCTCTCTCTCTCTCTCTCTCTCTCTTTCTTTTGTTGTTTATTTTTCCTTATTCACTTTTCTCTTTGAATTTATCTTTTCTTTTTCTGTTTCCCTCCACCAGCTCTACATGTGATATGATATCACTTTGTGATGGTGCATATAGCACTCTCAAAATTCCATCAGGCCCAAAATTTTGGATATCCTTTTGCTAATGTGATATTTGAATGTAGCCATTGCAGATTAGCTCTCTTGGAAGACTTTAGTAATTTATCTTTTGCAAATCATGTTAAAAACTGCAACACTTTTCAAACATAACACTGCATTTGTTAAGTTTACATAATAAAAATATGTGTTGATTATACAGTTATTCCCAGAGCCAGTGAACCTTCAGAGTTCACTACAAAATGATAGCTGCTGCAAATACTGTAGACAGAGGTGGAACTTCTGAAAATTGAATTCTTGTTTGAATTCCGAATAGGTAGCTGTCTCTTTTAGTAAATGCAGTTTAATTCTGTAGCCTTAAAAGAGTAACAAGTAAAAGTCTCTTGCATATTTATGTACTATGGATACTTATGTAACAATTATAAAAAAATGGCGCCTGATGGAATCTACAAAAGAGGAAAGTGGGGAAAAGCTAGGATCTTAGGACAGTTCATTATAATATGCTTATAAAGGCTGCCTAAATCACAGCCTAACACATTTATTACAACATAAACATTTTAGGGTAGGTATGCTTCATTGTATCATTTTCTTAGAGTGAATGTGGGAATAAGAGAATTAAGTATTTGTTTAGTTTCATATTAAGTTGAATTCTCTTCTGCTTTAATTTGGGCCAAATATAATTACTTAATTCTGGATCAACTGTGTGTTTTGTTACAGCTATGAGTCATTGTGGATATACTGTTGAATTAAGTAGCTGTTTCAAAATGTTAATATGTCGGGAGAGAAACCATGCAGCAGAGTAAACTGTTTTAATAAAACAAATAGGCATAATTGTAAAATCTGCTCGTGTGTACTAGGATGTCATAATTAGGTAATGGAAATACTTTGCCATCTGACATAGGTATATGTGATATGAGTTTTCTGGCTTTCTGTGCTCTTAGTGATTTGTTTCGCTGCTGAACTTCAGTTTCCTTATTGGAATTCCTGAGTTTCTCTACAATTTGTTTTTGTTTTGTTTTGTTTTTTTGCTATTTTTCTTTAAAAAAACAAAACATTTTTATCATCCTGTTGCAGGGCATTTCTGATCTGCAATAGTTCTGTAACCATGTATTTCTACATTTTAAGGAAGAAATACTGCCCATCGTAAATTCTTTTAAACTAAATTAAATTTTCAAAAGATAAGCTTAGCCAGACCCTGAAACCCACTGGCAACTTATAAGATATTACTTTACATACAAAATATCCACATAGTTTTTAGACTTTGTTGCACAGAAATATTTGCAGATCAGCATTGCTGACTACTACAGATTTTTTTTTCATACTTTTCCATCAGATCCTCAATTATGCTTTTATATTTCTGCATTAAAATTCTGTGCATCAAACAGGTTATTTCCATGGAGTAGTTGTGATGTACTCTAATTATGCCTTCTGTTTTTGAAGAAGAAAAATGCAAACTGAGTGAATATTTTTTCCCATATAGTCCTATTACTAATCTATTGGTATTACCAGAAAATGGAACATTTGTAGAAGAAAATGTTCTAAAAAAATCTGTAGAATATTTCTAATGGTAAAGGTATCCCTGTAAAGAAGCTGGTTAGTAATTGCCTGTTAGTGTACCTTGGTGTCTTAATCGAGATCAATTACAAATCAAATGTTTAAAGATTGGATAATCTCTTATGAATCACTTTGTCTATGGCAGAAAGCAATTCATAACCTAAGTTATGAAATCAGTGTTCTTTATGAAAAGAAATATTAAATACTTTTTTTAAAAAAAGTTTGCAGATATTTAAGAACTTAGTTGACATGATAAGCTGTTCTACCCAACTGACATATCCTATAATGTGCCACAAAATGGGAATCAAAACTTCCTTTGTAAAGTGGCATTAGCCTGAATTATTTCATTTTTGTAATGACAGATTATTCAATTCTTTGTTTACAGAACTGTAATTTTAATCACAACCTCCTTATTCCTTCAAAGCAAGATGGCCTCATATTTCCATTTGTATAACGTAAAACTTTAAAAGATTCGATTATAACAATATTTTGTAAGGTGACATCTTCAAGATTTTCAAAAAAGAGGTACATTTTATTTCTTAAAACCTGTAGCATTCCTTGTCAGATAGCTTAGATTTTCAACCAAGATTTAGGTTTGAATCATGGAAATGTTTCACCAGTTTGCTGCAGTCTAACTCTGCTGCATGCGTTCATGAGTTCCATAAAGATTGCATGCTTTGTCTTTAATACAGATTGTATTTTATTTTTACACCCATCCTTGCTTTTTTATATTTCATTTTTGTTTCCCTATTCTTGATTGGATGCCTGTGTATGTTTAATCCAAATCCTTGTCCAGTCCTGGAGTTTGAACTGCGGAAAGCAAAAGAGACCATTCAGGCCCTCCGAGCCAACCTGACTCAGGCTGCAGGTGGTGTACACAAACCTTTTCCTCAGTTTTTTTTTGTATTTTGATAAAATAGAAAGAGGTGGCGCATGACAGCCTGGAGAATAATATTTTTTTTCTGTATTGCTGTTTTCAGAAAATGAAGTTCCTCTGCAGGAACGAAGAAATTATAAATCAAGTCCTGAAATTCAGGTGAGTGATCTAATGTGCTGTATATGCTGTTGCTATAGAGCAGGGGTAGGCAACCTTGGCTCTTGTGGACTTCAACTCCCAGAATTCCTGAGCCAGCATGGCTCAGCTTGGAAACCTCTCCCTTTCCCCTCAGCATGGCTGGCTCAGGAATTCTGGGAGTTGAAGTCCACGAGTCATAAAAGAGCCAAGGTTGCCTACCCCTGCTGTAGAGCAAATGTTATGTTCAACAGCATTCCTGTCGCTAACCAAATAGCATGCTTGTTCAAGCTTTTAGGTTTTGTTTTGAAATGGGTAATCAACTTGTTTAGTTTCTGTCAATCATAATAGGAAATCAAGATTTAAATGTTATATGCATTTATTTTTCCTAGGAACCAATTAAACCTCTTGAAAAAAGAGCTTTAAACTTCTTAGTCAATGAATTTTTGTTAAAGAATGGATACAAGCTTACTTCAATAACCTTTTCAGATGAGAATGATGATCAGGTAAGTTGGAATAGCACCTTTGTGACCTTCCGATCTGGGGTCTTTTTCCCTTTTGTTCCTAACATGGTCTAGTTATTTTTAACTTATTTTCTCCAAAAAAATCTCTGTTTATAGTATATATTTGTATCTCTCATGTAAGTTAATTAAAGTAGGATTATTGTTTTGTTCATAGTAAGGGGTAGTAAGCTAATTCTTAACAGTAATGCTGTTCATTTAAATTCCAGATGACTTGATCCAAGAGCACTAGAAGAAAATAAATTTCTTTCTCACCTTTCTGAAATGTTCTCTTTCTGTGTTATAACGCGCTAAACATGTGAAGCGTTAGATTGGCTACCAGGTCTGAATCTGAATGTATAAATGTTTTAGAACTAATATAATAAAAAATATGAACATAGAGTTCCAAAAACAGCTGGGAATATTTTTTTAATACACTCCGTTCGTTCCCACCCACCCCATCTTAATGCTTTCTCCCCGCTTAGGTCTGGGATACATAAGGGAGGAGAGATGAATTTCATAAAAAGAATAGAAAATAATATAATTTTCTTTCTTTTTGAAACATCAATCACAAGGATTCTGTTGCGAATAACTGCCCCATAAAATGTGACTATAAAAAAAACATGTAATGCATGCAAAAATAATTCCATCAAAAACCATTGATATATAAACTGGTTTATTATGGATACTGATATCTGATATCTGATAATGATAAAGAGGGCCATCTTTTTAATATAGGGAGAAATACTTTTTTAATCTCTTGATGCAAATCATAAATTCAAATGGTTCATCTGTTCCGTATTATTAATTCTGTTCTGATAATGCTGGTTTTCATGTATTGCTCAAAAGCTAATAGCCTACTGTTAAGCTATATCACTGATGCTTTATTTTTGATGGAACACCCTGAGCCAATGTATAGCTAGGAAGTTTTTCTGAATCTTATATTACTGAAACAAATACCATAAAATAAAGTAGTACAGACTGTTCCTGACAGCCATCTCTTTTTCCTACTTCCAAAATAATCAGTCAGTACTTGTAGACCTTAAGTGTGATGAATCTTCATTCTCCTATATTTAATCAATTCATACTCCATTGCAATCTAGCAAAATAATGAGCAGGACCAGGTTTATATGTTTAAATAATGGAGGCTAGAATGAATGTCTTGTTTCTTGTTGTAGTGAGGTTCCTTAATCATTTCTTAAATAGTGATTCATTTATATATATATATATATATAGTATTTTTATCTATATTTTATGAACCATCTAGAATTATTTGGGCGGACAAATAAATTTGTTAAATAAATACCGGTAGCTTCAAGAGGTGCTTGTGGCTAGAGATTTTTGTTGTGCTGCATTAATGATGCAATTTGGTTATATCAAAGATCACACTAAGCTAATTATGAGCAGTGAAATCTTCATACTTTGAACAAAAAATATCAGTAGTGCTCAGTTAATTGTTAAGAAATTAGATTTAATTTAATTATGTCATACATTTTAAGCTAAAACTGATTTCTTCAACAGTATATGATTAAGGAATAGAAGTGTAAATTTTATTTTTATTATTGTTACCTGGCCAATAACTAAAGTTCTCTTCTGGATGTTGCATTTTATCATTTGATGTGATAACTTGCATACTTATCTATGGAAACTCATAAATATTTTAATTTTGCATATATAAAGGATTTTGAACTGTGGGATGATGTAGGACTGAACATTCCAAAGCCCCCGGACTTGCTACAACTCTACCGTGATTTTGGAAATCACCAAGTTATTGCAAAAGATATTGTAGATGTAGCAGTTGGCCCAGAAGAGGATGAACTAGAGGCAACTACTCCTATCCTAGAAAACATTCCTGTATTTGGAACATCAGAATCAATAGAGGTATAATTCATTTTGCAAATTTAAAACAATATGGCAAATTAAATTAATTTATTCAATTTAAATTGATTAATTAAATTACTTTTTTCGGTCATATTCCTTTTATTTAGCAATGTGTGTTGGTGCAGAAATTGGAAGATCAAATTAATGCGTTAAGCACAGAAAAATGGTCTCTTATGGAGCAAATACAAAGACTGGAAAGGTATGTTAATGTATAATTTTTTAAAAAAATTATACAGAATAAGCAGTTTGCTGTGCATGAACCAGTGTATCCATCTCAGTTTATTATGCCTTTAAATGAATATGGCATTGAGTTAAACTTTATATAAAAACTTATTTCTCTGTATTTCAGTTTAACAGCTTTCATTACCAAAACTTATTATACGCCTAAAAGTATCTTGGTCAGAATTATTTTCATTCCTTCAAAAGGAATGAAAAAAATAGATTTTAGAGGGATGCTGGATATGAATATACCAGCATGGCAGTAGCTTATTTTATTATTTATTTATTAAATTTATATGTTGCCTGTCTCACTGATAAACCTCTGGGTGGCTTACAGATCATGAAAAGTAAATAGGAAACCTGTTTAAATTTTAAAACAGTGCAAATTAAAAATTTAAAACTATGCAAAAAAAACAAACAAACCAGGAACCAAGATATGGATGGTACAGGGATGAGATCTTACCCCATCATTCACCTACCAGTAGTGAGCACCCCTTTGGGACCTCAAATCACCCGACAAAACCAAGTTCTCACCTCCAGTGGTAGGAGTGTTCCACAGAGTTTGGGCCCCAGCAAAAAAGGCTCTTCTCCTTGACCCCATCTGCTGGAATCCCTTAGCAGACAGGGTCGGTAGCAGGCCTCGTCCACTGGCGCAAGTGGGACAGGCTAGTCCCATTGGGGTGAGATGGTTCCTCAGATACTCTGGAGCCATGCCATATAAGGCTTTTAAGATCATAACCAACACCTTGAATTGACCCGGAAGCAAACCGGTAACCAATGCATCTTGTGCAACAGTGGGTGTTATGTGCCACCCTAGGGGCCTCCAGAACAGCATTCTGAACCAGTTGTAGCTTCCAAATACGTACTGTTCAATGATGTTTAGAATTTAAATTTACTTTGTTATTTTAACTTTATTTTGACACAGATGGCAGCAATAGCAGTTCTCTTATGCTGTGCTGGGCATTCCCCCCCCCCCCAAAAAAATATATAGATTTCAGAGACTTGGACCCACTGTTTTTTGCACAGTGTGATGGAGGATGTGATGCGGGGGAGAGAGTGAAAATAATACTGTCGGACAATACATAGATGCTACTGGCTGGTAGTGGTTAGCAGATATTGGAAGTCATATCCAGTGGACATAAGATTAAACATTTTTCCTCTATCAGTTTGACCTTTAGAGCATATGTATGTGTTGTTTTTATAACAAAAAAAGTATAATATAAAAAGCATTTCTTTAACAAAAAAATCTTCCCCACTGTTATCTTACTTAGTTTTCTATTTTTCTAAATCTGGTGGTAGATTTATCCCAATAAAACATTTTATAAAACATTTGTTCATGCACTACATAGGTCATTGAAAGTGATTTATTACATACTAAAAAAAAATTCCCAAAGCTTTTTCTTTTCTCTGTTGCAGTGAAATAGACTACTTGAGAAGTCCAAAAACTTCTATTCCAACGATATGTGACACAGTACAGACATCTTCAGCCCAAGTGCCTCCCACGTTCCCAGATGATAATGGGAAATATTTAGACATTAAGAGTTCAAGTAATGATGATAAACTTGGGAGAACTGAAGAAGAAAGAACTTGCATGGAATCTGAATGTAGGACTTCTAAAGAGGATATTGGAATACCTTTTGCTTATAAAGAAAGAGAAAAATTTCCACCTTGTTCCCCATCAAATAAAGCTGCTATAGATTTTGATAAACCTAATAGGTTAGTTAAATTCATCTGTGTTTTCTGTTTACAGTAAAATATTGTATTGAACATTGAATAGATTTAACAACTACATTCAGGTTCTAAATTTATAGTTTCACCACACAAAAGAAGTAGGAGTTTTGCCACCCCCACCTTTAATTAAATAGCTGTCCTAACGGTTTGATGTAGTACATTAAGGTTAGGGGATTCCATGTGAACATTCTTAGCTCCAGATTTTTCTTTAAATATTGGCTATCAGTTATCCATGTTTTCTTACTCATCTAGCAGTCACTTATTTGGTGTGAAATCAAGACATGCACAGGATTACATTAATCATGAGGAATTGTAACATGTAATGGAAGGAATCTTGACACACTGATTATTTTTCAGTTGTCTCTGTTTCAATTATAACATATTTTCAGAAATTAATAGATTATATCAGTACAGACTAGGTTTACATATTTTGCCAAGCCATAACATAATTTTTCATTTTTGGCTTAGCATGCTGTATAAATGATAAATCATGGTTTAAAGTTTAGAATATTGAGCAACTTCAGTCAGCTGTGCTTTATTCAATAATTTATGATTAAATAAAATATATCACAATTCTGTTAATCCTGTTAAAGATCAGTTCTACCTCTGAAGATTGTTCAGGCTCCAGTATAGAATTCTTAATTAAACTTTTAAACTGAAGATTTATTTTTTTAATTATTAGTTGTGAAATAAATAGATTTGTACAAATAGCAGCTTTTTGATATGTTTTATATTTCCATCCCACTATTTCAGGAAGTTATCACCTGCATTCCATCAAGCATTGCTGTCATTTTGTCAGATGTCAGCAGAGAGCCGTTTGGGATCAGAGGTATATTTATTTTTGTAAAATAGTAATTCCTATTCAGTGATAAGAATTAAGCAATTTCAACTTTGACTGTTAGTCTTTCGTTGTTCTTTCATTGTTCCTCTGGCCACTTGCTTATACATTTACCTTTGCATAACTTAAGATTTGAGCTGGTAATATATTTGACCACCTTATCCAATTGCCACATAAGTGGGTTGGACTAGGTACCATTTTTTGAAATCTAGGTACATACTAATCTAATATCCTTTGGACAGTCATTCACACAGTGATGCTTTCTCATTATCCCTGTGAGCTCTCTGAACCAATTACATAATGGATAACACAGATATGTTTAAAGGTGGGCATTTTATTTTAGACTTGAATTGTATGCTAATTTCTGAAAGAAATTCAAACCACTTTATCAGACACATGTTGTATAATGCAACTGCTGTACATGACTTTGCCAAAATAATTGCACTCTAGGTGTCTCGAATTGCTGATAGTGAAAAAAGTGTCATGCTGATGCTTGGACGTTGTTTACCACATATTGTTCCTAATGTCCTGCTTGCCAAACGAGAGGTAAGAAATATAGGAATATTTGTTTAGTTTCATACAATATTTATTCATTTCGAATTATGCATTATTTATTACATTGAAGTCTGTTACTTGCAATCATCTTCTCACTTTTGTGCATGCATTCTCTACTCCTAGAAAATGGTTGCACATCTATGTCGGGTGAGTTTTTAGCCAAACAGCATGGTATCCTGCTATTTATCCTTTTGCTTAAGATCCTTAAGGCACTTTGCAGGGCTGTTACTGTGAGTCCATCTGTTCTGCCCTTAAGTTTGCTTATATTAGCTAAACTTGGTTCTAGTGTCGTCGTATTTGAGTAGAACCTAAATTTTAAATTGAAGCGAACTTGCCTGTTTACGTTATTTCTAAAAATGATATGTATTTAAATGTTATATCCTTCTTATTAACAGCCATATTCAGACAGACAGCATGGCTAGATTGAACTGTTCAGTAGTTTGCACAAATAATTGGGAGTGATTAGAGCAAGATCTGTATGTTGCTCACTCATTGGCAGGCCAGAACCCCGAAGTCTGGCTTGCTGTTATCAACATGGGCCTTTAGTGTAATCTTAACTGAGAATTTGGCTCTTAGTGATGTATTTCTAATGATATAATGAAGTCTGAGCTGAAGATGAGTTGGTTCTATATGCGTTTTCTTTGTTTTGATTCAAAATTGCTTTTTGAGCCAGCTTAGCTTTACCTGTTAATCTAGATATCTAGTAATGCACTTTGGCATTTAACTCTGTGAGCTTTATGAAAAGGTAACTAAGTCAAGAAATGTGTACTGATCCTTCAGGTTGCAGTCACTAACTACATTTTCCAATAGTTAATGCTTTATCATGGGTTTCAATTTTTGATTATATATGCTGCACGCCTAATTGTATGAAATAATACATCTGTTTAAGTTATAGTAGAAGCTATTATATGGGCTACATTAAATTGTCAGGATCAGTTACCAATTTCTGGCTGTTGCCAATCAGCTTGCCAGGATGCTGCTTTAGTTCTTCTTTGCAGTTCCTAGTTATATTCCAACATATATTTCTGCAGTCCTAATTTTTGCTTATTTAATCCCTGCATATGTGTGGAAATAGATAATCATAAACTTTGAGTGGATACGTAATTCATAAAAGTTAGCAAATATATGTTAAAATCTTGGGTTTTGCATGTAAATTTTTCATAGCCAAATAATAATAGAGAATTCTAACAACTTTCAATTACCAAGTTATTACTATCCTTAGAATCTAATAAACTTTCTGAATTTAGAAGAAAAGAAGTATTAATGGTTAACCTAAGCTCCTATTTATGTACTAGCATAAAGCCCATACTTCTGTTCCTCTCCTCCCCATTGGAATAATTTCATCCTGGAATACTCTTTCCTTATTTTGTATAACTTCCAGTACTAGTTAATTTGATTTCCCGAACACTCCTTCCATTATCACAAAAACAAACAAATCAAAAATGGAGGGCTAAATTTATACCTTAATTTTAAAGTGTTACATTTCTGACACAATCCAAAATCAATAGCAAGTATTACTTATTTAGCTCATTCCAGTTTTGGTACAGTATAGTGTTCATTTAAAGTATAGAATTGGGAGAAAATAGTATTCAAAGTTTACTTATATTAGTTATCCATACCTAAATAATTAATTTTACCAGAAACAATATTGTAGATGCTACTTAATGGCATGTATATGAACAGGCTTTTAAAATCTTTCAACGTCAAGTTCTAAACTAACATGAGATTAGTTTTGTGAAACTGAAAGGACTTTAAAGTTAATTGTTTTTCCATGTTGATTGACAGCCCATTTCTTGGTCTGAATAAAATTTCAGAATTAGTTTTGATATCTTATGGAGATCAGCTATTTAGAGATAAATCAAAAACTCCAATTAACTTGCAGAAGCACTAAGCATTTCCTAGGCAAAATTTGCATTCCAGGAATTTTTTTTCAATAATTTTAATAAGAGTTATAGCAAAAGATATAATATGTCCTATGCAAAGCTGTAATAAACAAGCTTCTTGGAATACTTTTTATAACCATTTTTAATTAAAAATAAAAAACAGCTGGCCTTTGTCTATCCTGTGAAGTTTGTTAACAATTTCTGTTCATTTGAAGGTTCATTTATTGAAAAATTATGCTGTTGCATAGCTAATTTGCTTACTATATTGCTGTGTTATAATTGTGGAACAATAATTCTCTGAAGCTTCACAGTTAAAGCTGCTCTCTATAGGATTCTTTGTAATAGATAGATAAATGGTTCTATATGCTGATATTTTTCATGAAGCAAGTGTAGGCATCTTTTTTTTTTTTGAAGGCTGTATGGCAGTGCTGGAAAGGTAAGCTTGGAGCCAAAATGTGTGAAGCCACCTTTCCTTTTCAACTTTATTTTCCTCAAGAAATTACTAGAGATTAGCATTCTTACTTCTAAAGGGTTCCATCATGAAATCATAGATAGCCCTTGAGTTGTGACTATAACCGAGTCTGGCAATTACAATCATAAATCATAACGGTTGTAAAGTGGGTCACCCTGTGGTTTGGCCCCATTTTACCAACTTTTTCACAGCGGTCAGTATAAACAGACGAGGCCACAAAGCAAACATCACAGGAATCAAACAAGTCCTTTGATACCTATGAGGCAGATTTTGCCAGAAACTGGAAAACAGAAACTGGTTTGCGGCAAAACCATCATAAACCTCAGGCGTGAAACTGTGGGGTACTGCAAATGACCATAAATACGGACTGGTTGCCAAGCACCCAAACTGTGATCATGTGACTGTGGGGAAGTTGACATTGGAATTTCAAAATCAGGTCTTACATAGCTTTTGGGGATTTCATTGTAACTCCAAACAGTTGTTAAGTGAACGGTCATAAGTCAAGAACTATCTATAATCCAAGAAGGCAGTTTGCCCAATTTGGCCATGGCACAGTTTATTTCTTTTCTTAGAATGTTTAATTTGTCATCGACAAGTTTATGGGTCTTTCGTTGCTTTCAATTTCCCATGGTATTCTTATAACCTACTTTCAGTTTCAAAAATTACTTGTCACACAACTAAGGGGAGTAGCTTCATGAAAGTAAAGTTTAAACTCCCATTGGATATATAGAAATAGTTTTACAATTCATTGGATATTAGCCAACATTTTCCAATAAAATTATACAAATTACATAGTCAATTTTTGTAGAAATCCTGAATTCAGAGGGGAAAAAAGTTGTTTGGCCATCTCTTAATCTACTGGCATTGGGGCAGCATTGCTGGAAGAAAAGAGAATATCATTTGATGGCACCAAATGTTTTTAAAAGAAAACAAGTTAACTATCCCCTAAAATGGTCAGTGAACTTATGTCATCCTATCATGATTAAATCTAATGATTTTATTGAGATTAGGGTTGGATAAGAAAATAATCCTTTTACTAAAAGATATTTTGTACGTTCTTGGCTTATTTTAACTTTTTCAGCACTACTGATAGCGCAGTCATCTTTTCCATTTATAACTCAATAAAATGTTTCATTTTGAAATACTAAAAACTTAAAATAAAGGACAAGTATGTTGAACTTCACTAACACATATAATTCTTCAAACATTCCAAAAATGATCGATGTTTGTGTGTGTGTGTGTGTGTGTGTACATATGTGTTCGTGTGTCCGCGCACACACACACATATATACATACACTATGCTGGAAGTCATCAACCAGCAAGAGACATATACGAGTTACAGCGACTCTGTGTCTGATTTTAATCTATTGTGAGACCTGTACTTCAAACTAACACTCAGAACTTACTCCAGGCTTTGCTTAGGTAAAGTAGAAATACTGTCAAAACCTGTTCTGGATTTGCTTGTTCTTTTGTTTTGCAAGCCTCCCGTGGGTATGCCCAGGCAAAGCAGGGGCAGGCTTTGACAGTGCTTACACTTTGCATGGACATGCCTGACTAGAATTGGAAAAATACTGTTCCCCCAACATATGCAGATACTTTCATCACCTTTAGAGTCGTGAGCTTTAGCTTGAGAACTTGGGGTTATGTTTTCACCACTTTGAGGGGGGGGGAAATGTTAAGTAATATGTTGTCATTTAAAAATATGGCACAATAGTAGTAAATGATCAGAGTATGTCTATGAAAGATGCCATGATAGGCAAGTTCTTTGATATAAAGCTTTGAAAATGTATATTTCATTACTTTGGCACACATGGTATAACTTCCCAACATAGGCAAGAATCACTTTATTTATAGAAGCAGAAGCCTCTTTCCTTGATGTTGATCACATGCTACAGTTTTCGTGGGCAGATTATTTTTCATTCTTTTTCCTCTGGAAGTAAATTTAACCAACACTTTGGACGTGTCTTTTTTTATGGTAATCTTGTAAAATAGTAATTGTGCCTATGCACGGTAATTATATACCTTGAACCTTAGGAATAGCCTCCAGCCAAATCCTTAAGTTCAGAAGAACTTGATCTATATTCTTCCTATAAGTTGTGACATTCTTGCACTTCTTGATTCACTAAGAAATAAGGCAGTGAAAATCAATTCAGGTAAGTGTGCGTAAGAGTTCAGCACACTGAAGGCAACTATATTCTCTCTTTTTACTGAAAGAGTTTTCAAGTAAAAAAAAAATATCTAAGAGATCTTCAAGTATAGGGAGTCCATAGCATTTGAGCTCTTTCCGCATTACTTCCCATTCAGTAAATCCTCTTGTCCTTCTGCTTCTGTCATCCCTTTTTTTCCCCTTCATTGAGTAAACATGGAACATGCATTAGGACATTCAAGAAGGTTTCTCATTGTTTCTCCACTCCCATTGATAGAAGGAAGTTTAGAAGCACTGATGCAGCGATGCAGAGAACGCTCCAATCCTATAAAATGCATGAAAGAATATGACCAATGGACGTGGACACACAGCTAATTCCAACAGAGTCAGTATCCAGCTTTCTGCAAGGTAAAAGCATTGGCCTTGTATCTGCCCCATATCAACCAACCTAGATAGAATGAAACAACCTTGCAAAAGATAATAAACTGA